GAGGAGCGGCTCCTTGGAAGGCGGGGCGAAGTACGTGGGGGGGCGGGTGGTCTTTGAGGGTCTCCGCTAGCCGTGGGGGTGGGTGGGTGGGGAAGCAGGCCAGAGGGCCCTCGTGCTGGGCTACGTGGGAGAGCCAGGAATACGTTGGTGGCTTAGGGGTCATTCCGGCCATTGGGTGGATTTTGTAAATAATATAAACCTCGTAGATAGTTTGTTCTTCAGCCACCGAAGCAATTCCTCTCCTCTCCCACCTTCAGGAAATATTGTATGTTTCTATCCCGCCTTTATTGTCTTTGTGAATAACTCAAGCCGGCAAACCTATCCAGCCTTCCTCCCTTTTCCTACTTTCCCCGCAACAACAACCCTGTGAGGTGAGGTGAAGGAGGGCGACTGGCGCCAGCTCACCCGTCTGGCTTTCGGGGCTAAGGTGGGACTAGAACTCACAAACTCTTGGTAATTGACCCCAAGTCATCGCCCAGCCCGCTTTCATGGCTAGGCAGACTAGAACTCGCCACCTTCTGGCAATTGGCCCATACTCACCTAGCTGGCTGTCACGCCTAAGGTGGGAGTAGAACTCACCAACTTCCGTCGTGGAGCCTGATGCTGGCTTAACCCCTAGGCCAAACCGGCTCCGTTGTTGAGATAAGGGCACCCCTTGTCAAGCCTTCCTTTTAAGACTTGGAGGTGGGCACTGGGGGTGGGTGAGGTGCGCGTGGAGCTTCTGGTGTCTTCCTCTTGAGCGTGTAATCTGTCCATCGACGTGCCCCCAACCCTGGCATTAACTCTCAGAAGGAGACACCTACCCCCCAGCCTTTCCCCCAGGGCTTATCGGTCTTATTCACCCAGGCGGTAGGATTTGTGGTCTTCACTCTTCAAGGACTGTGCACATGGTCATGAAGGATTATGCGTGTCACATCCCATCCCCAAATCTGAGTTTGGGCAGGAAACACAGTATACCCTCCCACTGGGCCCACCCGAACCCACCCACCCCGAACCCCATAGGCCAGAACCCCATAGGCCACCCAGGGGCCTTTGGGGTTTGGTCAGTCTGTCGTTGGTCCGGGGCCCTGCTAGCCAGATGTGGGCTAGCCAGCCTTGGTCACTGCCACTGGGACCTACTATATCCGCCCGCCTGGTTGTCAGAGTGTTTGCAGTGGGACTACTATTCTGAGACAACCCAGGAGCAAAACACAGCACACACAGAGGCTTTTTTGTCTTTTAACAGTGGTTTATATACAAGACTACTATATACGTACATATACGTGGTAGGCAAATACCTGGCAAGCAATCAGTCTTTATTACTCTGCACAGAGAACTACAATGGAGACAGAACAGGAGGAGAGAGAAAAATGCCCTCTCATGGCCACCCTTATATAGACAGCTTCTTAAAACGGCAATAACCCTGTGGGACCCATCCTCAAGCCTTAAAGTGGCAATGTCCCTTGCTGACTCATCCTCATTGCATCAGCGTTTACAGCATATAATATAATATAATATATAATATAATACTGTGTTGTGACTCCGGGATTTGAATCTGGTCCGTCAGCAGATGGGAGCTCGAGTGAAGAAGATCTGGCACTGAGATT